GTGAAGCGATAAAACGAATCGGTGTAAAACTCAAATAATATTACGTCAGTTTTACCTATAAATAAGCAAAGGTCCCCAAAAAAGAATATAGCGGTTAGTCTTTAATTGCTCACAGAATTAAGTCTTAAGTAAAAATCGTCTATAAAATTGCCGAGTTTAAAATTTAATGATCTTAATGCGGAGACAGCTTCTGGATATAAGGCTGTCAACTGTTTTTCTCAGATGGCTTTATTTCACGCGTAAATCTTTCTAGTCTGGGTCATACTATGATACATGTCGTACACATGCATTTTTAGTAGTGATAGAGATCGTTAAGGAAATTACTGCAGTCAGAAATAGGTATCTATTTCTGCCACCAAGCAGTAATGTGAGTTTCCAGTTTTGAAAAGTAAAGTTGCAGGTGAAATTACAGGCACATGGAACTTGTTACCTTTATATCTCAGTGACTTGATGCATTAGCAGAACAATTTAAGGCTCTGAATGGCACTAGAATTCTTACGGGGCAAGCGTATTGCTTACCAGATCCCGTCACTTGACATCATAAAAAGCGTAGTTGATTACTTAGAATTTCGAAACACATATTGTTAATTTAAAATAAATATTATTAAATTTGTATTTCCGGCTCAAATTGTACCATCGTTACTTCATATACCAAAGTATTCTTGCGCCGTTTTGATACTTCTAATAAACATCTTAAGTCTTAGTACATCGTTATATTTTTGACAACCCTATTTTTAAGAGCGTGCACAAGGGGACAATAATTAAAACTCGGAAAAAAGTCATTACGGTAAGAAGATAAGCTAAGATGGTTGAATTATGTCTTGGTGGGCATTAATGGCTCAGCATTTTGCTGAATGGATTCCATTTTCATATATGGCTAAGTGGCACAATTGACATTGGCATTAAGATGCATTAATCTCAATCTCACCTGATGGCAGATGGAAGGTGGAGGTGGAGATGGAAGGTACATATTTGCTGAAAAGCTACCTGTTACAAGCTTCACGATATCCAGATGGTATCGTAATTCCACCAAACATTCAGCACGTGAACAGCATTGAGTCTCTTTGTGATTTAGATACTAGATTTTTAATGATCGCTAATATTTTTATTTTATCAAGTGACGGGATGAACAAATCGTGCGCATCGCGATAAGTGACACAGCTGTCCATAACAGTTGCAATGCTATTCAGAGCTTTAAATCTCAAAGATAAGAGGGGTACTGCCACTGTGACCGTCACTCTGAGACATAAGTTGACAAGACTCATGTGCCCGTAATTTCACCAGCACCCTTACCCTTCAAAATGGGAACGCTGTAATGTACGCATCGCTGCTTGGCGCCAGAAATAGGTAAGGTGGCAGTTCTTCCCTGGATGAACGCTTTCACAAGGAACTAAACTCTACTGGAACTCTACTGGAACTAAACTGCCCCTACCTGTCAGGCCTATAGTGATTTACGAATATTGTATCAAGGGTATTTTTAGATTTATTTCCATTACTTAACTATATGTCCCTTTTCCTGGAAGGTATACTAATTTAGCAGCTTATCAGTCTCAAATAATACTGATCATACACTCTCTAATTATAATTCTAATCAATTAAAAACGAAATGTCTATATTTAATAGCGCCGTTGATTTTTTGTAATATCTCTATTACAGATTCTCTCGATAGTCTTTTCATAATAACAAGGTAGCACATTGCACGACCTGACATCCAAATCCACATGTAATATTTGGTAATAACTAAAAGTTTGTAACATCGCAGTAGAACTGTAGCTAAAATGTAGGGTAGATTATTTTGGCGAAGATACCTTTGGAGACATTTATTTATTTGTATGTTTTTTTATCTTCAGTGAAGATAGTTCGTAGTGTCTTTTTCATAACGGCAGGCATATCATAATGGTAGTGTTGCCTGATGGTTATATTTTTTCATAACTTTTGACATTCTGGTGTAATATTATGTAAACAAGTAAATTTTGTATTAACGCAATTTTCGTAACTTTTCAGTACGTTGAGGTTTTTTGAATATGAATATATAATAGGAAATGAATTTTTTCTTCTATTCTCTCTTCTATCTATTTTTCCGGATTTAAATCGTAATTGCAAAAATATAAGTTTTCCGGTAACGAAATGTAATTTTCGACTCGAGTACCCCGACAACACTGGGACAGTTAAGCAAGAAATAAATAAAACAACCTCCTTTTATGCTCATAAAAACACACATTTCTACATGAACAAGGATGTTTTTGGAGTCGAGATTATCTCCATAAAAACAAACAATTCTTGCTGAAAATAATGTCTTGCTCAATTGATTCCAAGACGTTGCTATTACGTGATATTTCACGATGTCAGAGTATTTTATAAAAGTACTTTCACAATTTATCAAATAATAATTTTGTTCAAATAATGTCCGCGTCTATTTTATTTAATTAATATCGGTAGAGTATAAAACTCACAACTCTGTATACACAAGAACAAATTCGAACAAGAGAGAAAAGATATGATACATACAATAGGCGGCATTCCTTGTTTTCCTATTAGGTACTTACTTACTCCGCTGGCTCAGCGACCCGAAGTGGTTCTTGATCTCCGGTACAAGTTAGCACCAACGCGCCCTGGCTTTTGCGATCTCCTGCGATCTCGCGAGGTCGCGAGGTGTCCGAGCCAACGGAGTCCTATTAGATACTCTAAATAATATTTGTTTGATCAGAAATTATTTACATTAAATCTACTTAAATGTGATCCTTTTCAACGTCATGATTAAGAATATTAACTACGTAGTTCAACGAATATATAGATAGGTACCTGTAGAATACCCTAACGATTCAGTTGACTGTCAGTTGTTTCCGCAAATTATAAATAGCACAATTTCACAGACCATCGCGGCCCTGAATAAAGCGTTGCATCTAACTATGACGGAAATCGAAATCATGCCACAGAGACAGCGTTAGGCAATTTTTTTTCCGGAAGGGGTAATACCTTATGTTGTATATCTTTCAAGTTCTTCGGTTTTCTCGATTGTTGCACATTGGAAATGAAACTGTTGTTGTTTTCGTATCTAAATCCGCTCTTAGCACAGTCCTGTAAAAGACCCGGAATATTGGTTTATTTGAAAAAGCAAATCAAACATCAAAACGCATAACATATCTTACTGAATGAATATTTTTTAACAATTTTCAAATGTACCGTGTTGTATGAAAAAAAGGAATTTTAAGAGAAATATTTTATCAAAATCCATAGGGGGTTGTATTCATCTTTCTGTCTACCTAAAATTTATTCACTTACCCGTACAGCCCATTAGGGTTTCAAGTGAATAAACTTATGTATATTATACTAAATCATAACAAAACATTGCTGTTTTATAATAAAGGTCATCATTTTGATGATAAAAGCAACGCAAAAATTTCCGCGTAAATAAAATAATAATGTACGATAAAGAATCTCTAGAAGCGGCCCTCTCTCAAGGTTTTGATTCCCATTTCCTTGCCCTGGCATCGCGTGTCGGGCGCCCATAAGTCAAGCTGGTCGATATACTAGAGCTGTCGATTGCAAAATCCGGGATTTTACTCGTATTTTATCCTATTATTCCACTTTATTAACTCAGATTTAGCTTTTGAAGTGCCATCCACAAAATGTTTTCTGTGGCTTTGTTTCTTTAAATAAAATATATAAATAAAATACAAAAAAATCATACAACTAACGTATGTAAAAAGCCGACTAAATGGAATTGTGCTGTCCATATATGCCGTATCAGAGATTCATGTACGCTCAATGGGTGTCACAAGATGGCCGTCAGAGACACAGCCGGCCGTTATAACCTACAAGGGTTCTTGAGTGACTGGCCGTAGATTGCTGTGGACAAAAATAGGGGAAACGTTTTTAAAAAAATACGTAAAATAGAACTCTATGGATATCGCCCATAATATTATATAGTCGTACATAAGCAATAGAGTATTTGATCCTTTCTATCATAACCTCGGTACACAAATTACGTTTATTATGTAAAATCTACAATCTTCCAGAAGCCCTCTATCCCGTTTAGTACGATAAATCCTATACAAAACCAGACTTATTCGGAAATAAAACTATTTTCTCCGAATCTAACTTTGATACATTTTGTTTTTTTAACAAACCAACGGTTCCTCCAATGTACAACAATCATGAAAATCTAAAAACTCGATACAAATTGATTCAGGATAAATTCCGCAACGTGCAGCCCCACTGCTATTCAAGTGTCAATTTAAAGTATGACCATTTGCTGGACCGACGTTGTTTGATTTTCAAATCTGTTAACGTACTGTATATAGTTCTTTGTTTTCGTTTCCCCGTATTTCGAAAAACTACTCGTAGTATAAATGACATACTATATATTAAGAAACCCGTAAGGAATTCTTTCTATAATACCAGATTATGGTATTATAACAACATGTACGAGCAGCCATCTATCACTATTTCATTAACAACAATAACAATTCTAGTTTGCCATGTGTAACTCAGTGAGAAGATATCAAAGCAAACGAAACCAAATTAGTATCGATTCACACTTAAGCTATTCAGCAACGCTTTCGCTGCCAAGGGGCCTTCGATCACTTTTGCAGCTTTTACTTTGTTATGGTGATCTACGTAAATTCCACTTACTAATTTAACAATGTAGCATTTCCTCATGCGTCGAACCTAAAATATAAACAGTGAAAAAAATGCTGAAATAATACAATAGCGAGAAATAACACGGTAACCCCAATTTCGCTCAGTGAATGGTACCTAAAAATGATTGATATATTCCATCCTTTGTCCACAATTTATTAAAACGAAAACCCTTTCTGTTTATTAAAAAAAAATATATTGTCATTCAATCTTTAATCACATACCATGCACACATAATTAAATAGATTACAATCTAAACTAAATTACTACAAATTAAACTACGCTACTAAAAATAAAGTAGTTTTCAGATAACACCCACGCCTGAAGATAAATGCTGACTAAAATATAACTATGAATAACTATGCGTTTCTGGCGACGCCAGTCCAACAGTAACGAGCTGGTAGCCTATTAGGCCTAGCGCCCATACCGGTCGCTATTAAAGTTTCCCCACATCCTATTTCAGACATATTTTCCTCTGTCCTCTGAACACCGTCTGCTGCTTTGTCCGTTATTTCCATAACAGCGCTTTTAGATTTTACCTTCCTTCTGGCAGTTAAATCAATACTCTGCAAAAACTCTTCCTCACCTTCAGAATTGGCATCTAAAATATCATCTTCTAATCTTTCTAATGCTGACAATTTTTGTTGTTTAATCTCTTTAGAAAATTTCTCAGACCGTGCAGAAGGCAACTTTGCAGCAGGCATTGTTGCAGTAGGTAGCACAAGCTTAGGACAAATTAGCTCTTTTTCTTTAATAAAATATTCATCGACTTTTTTCTCCACTCTTGTCACTTTCTCCATTATGTTATCAAGCTGCTGTGTATTACACTGAACAAATTTATATACTGCAGTTATTACTTCGTCTGTTTCTCTCTTGTTAATATCTTTGATGCAATCTCTGATAGCGTTTAAAATTGGAACCTTGATATTATCGGCTAGCAAACTTTTATCTGTATCGTTCATTAAATGGACTTTAACTTTCGTATCACCATGACTACAATACTTACTTGCAAATGCTTCGAAAGATTCAGAAACAATAAATTTTTGAGAATCTTTTTTTTCTTTTTTTCTTTTCTTCTGATGTTTTTGCTCAGAAGCGTCAGAAAATGAACAACACAAAGACGGGTCTAAATGTATTTCGTTTAAAGTATCGCTTCGCGAAGAATAGCTGATCGTTTCTTTGACACTAAAACTTTCCTTTCCAACGCGTTCAGATCTGTAAGTTTCAACTTTTCTCGATTTTTCTTTCTTGTACGTTATATCTTGTGTACCGTCAAAATTTTCTGGAACTTTAGCTTGTTTCTTAGACTTTTTCGTGGCTTTGATAGCGTAATATACTGGACATTGTTCTTTGGTAGGTGGTATTATTATCGGAACTATGTTTTTTGCAAATTGCATAGTTTGTCCTAGTACAGAGTTATGGATATCATTTTTTAAACCTATATGTTCACCACTGTCTTGATAAATAGGTATTTCAGCTCTGATAACATCACTTGCAAATTGTTGACATTTATCAGCTTTGGTTTTCTTTAACTTTTTTGGTTTTTTTTCTTTGTCATTGACTTTGTCTTTTTCTTTCTTTTCTTTTGGTTTTAAGAACTTCTTGTGAATGTAGACGACAGAATTAAAATATCGCTCGCTGGGGAAATAATTTGATAAATCAATGCCGCCATGTGAGTACGGTGGGTAAACTGCAAGGAAGAAAAAAGTATTTAAATAAGACAATCATAGCAATTCACATATCTTTAATCATCTTTAACAATTACTTGGTCTCAAACCAGGGAATTCCCTAGACTATAGTTATCAGCACAACTAGACCAGGACCAATTTAGAAAAGTTGGGGTTTCCCAATGTGGTCTTATCGGAAATCGAATCGAGACCTCATCTAGCACTCACAATGTTAACCACATGGCCATCAAGATCGTCAAGGTTTTTAGCTGGATTTTTAGTATAACTTGTTTCGGATGATAATAAAGAAGTTCTAAGTACTTAAAACTATGTGTCATATAATAACTTCAAATAATCAATGACAGATTCCTCTTCTAAAGTTTTTAGCCACATTCTGAGAGATAAGACTCAATTTTAAACTTAAGCACCCAAACCAAATCGTAAAATACAGTAATACAGATGCATATAACCAACGTTCATCGCATTGTTTCATAACATTTAATACCTACATGGGAAATACGTTTTCCTCTAAGAGTTAAATGCTTGTAGCAATTTCCCGAGATTGCACTGGTAAGCCGCTAAATGTAAGTTTAATGTCGCATATTCAGCTAGCCGTGCATTAAAATCTAAAGTGATGTGAACTTTTGCAGAATTCAAAAGAAAGTTTTCCAAATGCGTAGCAAGAGTTAAAAGAATATGTATTAGAAATCTCACAAGTTACAATCTTAGTTAGTTTTTTTGCAGCAGTAGAATTCCTTGTGAAAGCGTTCGACCAGGGAAGCACTGCCGTCTTACCTATTTCTGTCGCCAAGCAGTAATGTGAGCATTATTGCGTTTCTGAAGGGTTCTGGCGAATTATTAATACAAAGATCGAACACTCAGAAAAAATTCCTTCGATCCGGTCGGATTCGAGCCGACGTCTTCTTGCATACCATGGTTCTGGTGAAATTACAGGCACTTGGGACTTGTCAACTTATGTCTCAGGGTGATTATTTTATTTATTTAAAGCTCCGAGTGACACTCCAACTGTTATAGACAAGCGTGTAGCTTCTTTGTTCGTCCCGTCACTTGATATCATATACAAAAAAGCGCCACGGATTATGAATATAAAAAAAGATATCTAAACAACTCTAGAAGTTGCTCTTTGTAAATATTTATTTCAAATATCATAGATCGCGACAACCTTCAAGAGACAAATGTGTCGCTACCAAGAATTTTTGTCATCAAAGTACTCAGAAGTGTACAATAGCCTTTAATATAAAGATTTTGTTTAGCTATAGTTTTAAACAACGATATTAAGTAACACTTTATGCTCACTCGTTTCAAACCTCTAAATAGCAAATTTTGAATACCAACTGAAATCTTATTATAGACGCGTATGCATTGACCCTTAAACGAACTTGTGACCTTGTAAAACGACTATCAAGAACAGCAAGTTTATTTTTATACGTTGTATTAATGTTATATCTAACACTATTTTTAACTGGCTAAAAAGGGAGGAGGTTATAGTTTCGGCTGTATGTATGTTTTCTAATTTCTCCGTCAATTGTAAACCATTTTTGAAAATTCTTTTTTTGTTTGAAAAGTGCACTCTCGTGATGATCAATATTGTCAAGTGAGAATCTGTTGAGGGGATCCATGGAAACCGAGGAAAATCCTCAAATTTTAAAGACATGTACATTGACATACCGATTTCTCCAAGAATTGTGGACCGATTTTGAAAATTTTTTTTTTTTAGTTTGGAAAGGCATACTCTGGAGGTTGTCTCTGATACCAACGACGGTGTTCCGGGTTCGTTTCGGCTATCACAAATTAAAAAATATTTTTCGCAAATAAAAACCGACTTTTCACTTGACTTAACATGTAGTATTGCTATATGAGAATGTAAAATACTACACAATACATGTACTTAATCAACAAGTCACCGCCACATTGACAATCAGAAAAAAAGTATAAAATGTACAAAGGAGTCCGTAACAGTCCCATTGTCACTAAGAAGTCAAAATGTGATGAGGGGATTCCATGGAAATCGGAAAAAGCCGATAAGCAAACTTGAAGTTGTTTTTTTTTTTCAATGAAAAAGTTACAACTGTTCATTAAAAAAGAAATACTATTGGGACTTTACACAAATTACATTTTTATAAATATATTGTGACGCTATTATAACAACGCTAATTGGCTTTAAACTTCTCGCTCAAAGACATTCTGGGGACCAGATTATATGATGACTATAAACACGCGGTAAAGATTCTTACGTCCTCTGTATGTTTGGGGTGTATCAGAAGGTTGATACTGACAGGAAAAACAATGTGACCAGCTTAATGGTCCAACGGTTGTGGTTATAAAGATGACCAATTTCGGAAACAAACTTTTCCAAATGGGTTTTGGTCTCTATGCAGAGTTAATTTCGTTGTTCTGGTGCTTATTTTACAGAAAAATTCCCCATAACAATATGAGGTAATTTATGTGGTTGTCTAGCACACTATAAGTTTATTTATTTATTTACTTCGCCAACATATTATATATATATTAATTGGACACTTTATATACGTTCACATTGTGTTCCTGCATATACACCATGAGCTCTAATTACGATTCAGTTTAGGACCTACAACAAATCGTTGTGAGACAGCGCTACATGAAGTGTATATCACCATCCCACTTTTTTGTCGTTACGAACCTATGCTGAACTGTAATAAGAGTTCATGGTAAGGCCCCTGAAGTGTTTTCGTGGAGAAAATTGGAAAAACGTTGTTTACTAGTTAGTGATTTTATTTGAAGTGGCGATAAGACAAACAATTTTTTTAATAAAAGAATACAAATTTTAATTATAGAATACGAAGTACATTCTAGCCAGTATTTCAAAAGCTCCCACACAATACTTTCAATAGCAAAAGTCAGCTAAAGCGCTCAAGTTACTAAAGTGATCACTTGACTTTAGTGAAATCTTTAAAAAGTCGCAAAAGAAGAAGAATTAAAACTATTTTCATAGTGAACAATGTGGTGCTTTTAATTAATAATAGTCACAGCTGGTTGATGAGTGAACCATCTCAGTTAGCCGTGACCATGGGACCTGTAAAGGGCTGTTTAATAAAACAGAGGTACGCGATTTATAGTCCCCAGAAATAGTTTCATTTCTTATGAATTCGATAAATCTAGCGAAAACCTAGGAATTCGATAAAAGTTGAATGCTAACATTATAGGCTTGCAACTTCTAACTAAGTATTCCAGTAACATGTCATTTGACTATTGAAATAAACCGATTAAATCTATTACAAACAAAGACTTCAAATTACGTACACATTATTTAATACAAAGAGCTCATAAAGGTATTGTTCGAATTGCGGGTAATTCGATCATAACAGAAACTCACCTTTTTGGATTTCATTCATAAAATTTTTGTTTTTCATATCTCTTTTACCTTCGGATTCCATTGAATTTGCATTTAATTTATTTGGACTAGCAGTAAAACCTTAAATCAACATCAAAAATTAATTCGTACAAATTGACGTAACGTCTTTGTCTGACATTGTCAGGTTGTGCAAGCAATAAAAATAAAATAGTTTGTAGGTCACAGCAAGGAGATTGGACACGAAATCTCCTTAAAAACTATTTGAACTTTTGAATCTCGAAACCAAGCTGGTTAAAATTAAACCTCCGAAACATTTTATCTTCAGCTCTGTAACTATTTGCATTAAGTGGAAATAATTATATTATTTAGAGCAAATTATATTCACACTAAAATTCACGACTATAAGTTTCAGTATAGTTCCAAAATTAGGCCTAACAGCAACCTTGAAACACAAATAATTATTAAATATTTTGCAGTGCAGGGGATTTTGGAACTTAATTTATAGTATTAAGGTTCGTTCTGAATATTAGCAGAGGTCTTAATGTTAGACATAAGCAAATAATTTTAGATCTTTCTAACCGGCGTTAAAGGTTATTTTTGTATGAGGAGGAGGTAAATAGGAGGGGAAAGATCCCAGGAACGCTGTGACAAACGACAGGACTTCCCGGGCGTAGCGGGGACTACGCGATCTTTTAGAAATACTGTGGGTACTATAATGGGCGATGAGAGAAATTTAGCCTTGAGTTTTGAGTGCAATTGTGATAGCGCTTGCCGCGATGAAAATTTAGCAGGATATGGTATCACTTAGGGGCACTTAACTTTGTTGGTGGAAATGCGGCTTTCCGTCATCGAGGGACTAGACATAGGCTGGAGTTCCAACCCTATGTTGTGGATTCGAATATCCAGGTTTCGCACACAGCGTTTAGCTTCCACATTTATATGGCGAATGGTTATGGAGTGGAATTCCCAGCCCGGAGACTTATTCCCTGAACGTTATAATTTGGGTTTTTTCAATACGAGAGTGAAAAGGCATTATATAGGTGTTTATGCTTCATCGTGGACCTCATCGTCACTTTCCATCGGGTAGTATGAAGGTCAAATGTGGCCTTTTCTAGGATTAAAACGAAACATAATGAGGAGTCAAATGGCACAAGGATGTTTAACTATGGCTTAATTTTATTTTATTCCACATTCCATTTGTTTGCTACACAAACATACAGATAAAAGACTTATACATAGATAATAACTGTAACAAAAAAATTACAGTTTTGGTAAAATAACATAGGATGTAATATAATACATAAAAATAAATAAGTAAAAATCAGTGCTACCTACTGACGACATGTTACTAAACCTGAAACATTAGTTTTTTTAAATGATCTGTGTGTTTGTGGACGCTAATCTACACAATGACTAAACCAATTAGAACGTGATGATTGGTGTTTTTTTTAAATATGTTTAGATACCTATTAATGTACAGTCGATGCCCTATGATACTTAGGGGGTTAAGGACCGACCATGTGATTCTTGGTAGATAAGAGTGAAGAAAAGTATTGAACAAACTTACCTTTAACCTGGGAGCCTAATTTCATTTTGGTATGACTTCCTTACAGTGTCATTAGGGCATTTCTCCAAAGCCGCAATTTTTTGAGTCCATACACTTATTTATTAAAAAAAATGTACAAAAATATAATATAGGTCGAAAGCTAACTGGAGAGCACAAAATCTTCCCAATAAACCTTTCGGACCTAATGAAAAAATAATCCAAACTGTCTAAAACCTGACAGCGGTGGCGTGTTCCGAATGTAGAATCCAACACAAAGTGTCATTTTTCTCAAAAAAATTGAAATCGTATATCAATATTAGTCTTTAGTTCACTTACAACAAATTAGATGAATGTACTTTTAATCTGAATTTCACAATAAACTAGACAATAGTTTTATCACAATACCGAGATTGCTGCCTGTCCCAGGCTTACGCAGGAATTCGGTGGAAGTTACTAATAACGCTACATACCTATCAGAAGTGAAGCATTTTAGAAGCTTCGAAATTTGTTCTTATTATTTACCCATCATGCCCCTGTGGCTGGAGAAAACCGGTGGATGATTTGTTGCTGATTTTTTAGGCTTTTTTGGGTGCAAATACGTGATTCGGTGGATTTGGTCCAGGTTGATTTTTGAATTCGATGTGTGCGATATTTCAAAAACTACATATTATGGTTGTGTGCAAAATTTTTATACTATGTGTTGTAACGACTAAAATATAATAACAATTTATTGGTTTTATAAATATTGTAGTTTACGAACAAAAAAAAAATATGTATTTTCTGAATACTGTGTGGATTTTATACCACCGAATTCAAAAAAGCTTCCATCGAAGTCGGAAAAACCTGCCATCGAAGCCATAATTTCTTTGAAAAGCAAGAATTTTATACATATTTTCATTTATATGTTTAGTTAATGTTATAGATTTTCACAATTTTATATTACTACTCGATTTTCACAGGTAATGATAAGGAAAACTAAAACAGAAAACAAAAATTGGAAATCTGAAAAAAAAAGATAAAGGAACGTGCTAGAAAATCAAAAACAAAAATTGATCGGATTATATATGAAAGGTTTAAAGAAAAAGATAGACAGTGGTATGCAAAGAAAAAACGTGAGGACAGATGTTGAAGCTGCGTGAATTACCTCGTCATGTATAAAAATTAATGAAAGTTATTAAGCGCGCAAATTTCGAAAAATTTCTTCATGTTGTAGCAGATTACGCGTACAGATTACGTTCTAAATTTTTTTATAAAAACGAGTACGGAAATACTTTGTGTGATTGAAAAAAGGGTGAACAGCCAAACTGAAAACTGATTTAATAATAGTCATAAGATGGAATTTGTTTGCGTTATTCTGGTCGATTTATAAATAAATTTTAGTTTTTAAAGCCAGATTTAATAGCTAGTCATATTAGTAAATGTTTATGTAGATTCGGTGGACCAAATATGTCATAAACTATTAATAATCTAGTGGCCCAATTAACGGAATCTTATGTAATTTTGAGTTCTTTTTCTAGCCCGCTCCATGTTTTCCTGAATTTAAGAAAAATAAGTCGACTGCCAAAGTCAGAGAATTTAGCCCTTTCAGGAGAAATGCCCTGATTAGCGAATGATTTTTTTAGAGTTTACTCTTTAAGCCAATTTGATCTTTAACGTGCACTTACTTACATATAGAGTACAAATTTTATCCATAAATACGTAATGCTAACTTCTCAAGGCCCATGCCGCGCGATCTTGCGCTAACACGCCATAGGATGGGCCTGTGAGGCGAGCTCGCCCGTACAAATCGGTACAGCACGGCGTGATACGACCCGTGATGTCACGCGGTGATATCACAGGCCGTGTGAAGCCGCCTTAATGCTCTCAAAACCGAAAGGTCGGCTAGTGGTCAGGTATCTTAGGACATTGACTGTATATTTAATATAAAACAGTTAACAAATGAAACAGATAATATATATCAAATTTAAAGTGTGTCTCACCCGAGCTCGACTTGATGCGACGATGCGATTCGATGCGCGAAGCCGGAAGTGCGTGTGCTACTGAACAATTGGAAAGACGTGATTGATAAATATTAACCTCCGATGACTATACGTCTAATATTAATAATATTAGTATATAAGGAAGCAGTACTGTGAATAATATATACGTAATATCCAACCGACAATAAATCCCACGTAAATTATACACGTTTGCGCGTATGAAATCTCGGGCACAGCTAGTTCAGAAACAAACTATAGAAATAACTTTTTTCGTGCCAAATGGGACAACTTAAAGTAAATACAGTAAAACAGAAACTTTAGGAACGCGCAGGTAATTTATTTCATACCATAAAAGGTGACGCTTTTTGTTTCAAAGTTAACAAAGCCCTTTTTCCCGTGTCCACAAGTATCGTATATTCGTAGCTATCTTTCCTTCTATTTAAATAACGTAATTTTGCTTCGTAGAACACCGACAATGTTGAAACTAAGTTATGATATGTGAAATTCAGAACTCGGTGTTGGCTGCTCGCGATTTATGATTGGTTTGTTTTCTAATTGTTTTCTGTTGGGTAAATTACAGCTTTTATTTGGTTTTTGTTCGTATATATTCAGTATCTGTTGGAAGAAGAGGGAGGTTTTCACTACTAAAGGCGGCCTTACATATAACATTACTAACTGTAAATTAAGATAAGACTAAGCATACTAACCAACAGAATAAACTTTTAGTAAATAAGTAAACTGATAAACTGTAACTGATTTAAAGCTCTGAATGGCACTGCAATTGTTATGGACATGCGTGTAGCTTACCATCAGGCGCACGACTTGTACATAGCTTGATATTATAAATAAATGTATTCTATTTATGTTGTAAGTGATAAATGAAGTTATAAATAAATAAAAATATTCATTTTTATTAACTAGACAATCTTCCAGTTGCAACGTTTTTATTTATTTATTTAATATATGGACAACATTCATAAAATAGGTCAAGTATAAAAGATAAATATATTACAAAGTTCCGTACCACATTGCAATCCTACTTATATTACTTTGCATACTTATTTATTTTTATTTTGTTTACTTTCATTTATTTAGAATGGATAGCCAATACAATGCATATACAGAGCATAGCTAAAAATACAATAAAAATATAAAAAAAACAGTCTACATGTCGCACTTACAGGCTACCACAGCATGATATTGACAAGCAAGTTTTTATAGTATTAAATTAACTTTTATTAAAATAACTTATAATTATTAAAGTAACAAGAAAGATTTACTTTCGATCGAACGTTGGTTTGTTTGAAAAAACAAATATACGCGATTTAAATCCGTAAAAATAGTTTCATGATCTACTTACTGTTCATAATTTGCTGATAATTATTTACTTAATGAATATACTTATATCCTAAATACAAAAGCGACCTGGGTGAATACCTATGTAAGTACTAGACGAGTTACTTTTATTTTAAAATTTTCTGGATTTTGAATAAAAAATGTCCAAACCGGAGTTTTTTGTTGTTACACATTTGTGTACATTGTTATCAAAGTATTATAAAAGAAATAATTATTCTTATACGTGTGCAAGTAAAATGTCTTGCTAGGTATTCGGAGATTAAGCCTTGTATAGATCAATCTCGCCATGAAGAATGTTATGCAAGTATATTAGGTCCTGTCTTTTACGGCGAACAAGCAAGTAGGTCACTTTAAATTCGTCACCTCTCACTATAGCTAACAGGGCTGCTACCATAACCACATTTGTAACCAAGCATCCTGAAAACTGTTTCCTGAAGTGGATTGAGTTTGCTAATATGCATTTACGAATTATATTTACGTTTTAACTACGTACAATAAGAGGTAAAGTGATACAGAAGTACGCTAACAGCGGCTGCATCCTTTGTAAATTAGAATATAAGTTCACCAAGGCCCTGCCAAGCTTGGTTTATCCTTTGTCTTAAAGGCTTTAGAAGAGTGGAATTCTCATCTTGCGGATTCTGTTCCCTGATATTATATAACTTGACCCTTTTCAAGGCGAGTGTAGATAGGCTCTCTGAGACAAATATGGTCACTGCTGCAAAAGTATCTCGTGCAAAAGTTGTGAAGCCTTTGTTAATGTAAATGCAGCTATTGTTTGCGGATGTAAAATCGCATAGGTATTTGTTTTTTCAAACTGTACAGCCGCATATCTTTCTACATTAACTTTGATTACAGTGACCCTCCCTACCGACCCTCAGGGTGTACAAGAAGGGCACTATAACCTGTGCAGGCACAGAAACGTTACAAATTCATGGTCTAAACCCCGGATCAGCCAGTGTACAGGGTTGTCACAGAGCTCTGTCACTCGACTTCATTCGGCCCTCGAGAAGCTAGTGCCTCGAGTGAGCCGCCACGGGTACATATATAGTGCCCTCCCTATTTTCCAAATTGTAGGCACGCTCACTTCATGTTGCGTACAACTAGCGGTTGCCACCGCTAACTCTAAAGTCCACTACCAAATCTCCTCATTGGTGGCGGAGCTGTAAGGCATGCTCACGCTTTTCAAACTGTACTGGAAATGACGTCACAAAGGTAGGGCAAGAAGAACCCTAGCGCCCTTACAAGACCCTAGTCCCAAATATACAAGTGTGCTAAATAAATATATAAATAAGTACAGGATATCTGCGCCGTGAAACTTAAGGCAACAGACGGACGAGGGGAAGGAAATAAGGGTGTACTAGGATAGATTTTCCCACTGCTGGTCTCACAGACTCACAAGACCGATTTACTGACAGCTTAGGGTGTCTTAGCCACAGTGAAAGGATGCTAGCAGGAGATAAATTAGACTCGATTGCTATTGAAAGACTAAATAAAATAAATGAATTGCTATATATGCAAAAGTACATTTACGTACACTATTATTAAAAATGTCTCTAATAATAATAAATCTAAATGTCTCGTCGGTGAATAGTGCCATTGAAGTATTATCTTGCAGACTGGTTTTCGGTCACCTGCTCAGTGGAATGTTCAAAGGTTGTTTGAACACAAACAAATCAAAATTTCGTACTCTTTACAGATTCTATAACCACGT